AGTGCCATTAATGAGAAAGGGGCACTTAATATTAGGGTGATTTTCATCTTTATTAATTTATATAATATATAATTCACATAAAACTAGACACCCTTCATGCATTAGGGGGATAATTAGGCTGATATCAAAATATTGTCCTGTTGCCACACCCGTGTCAGTACGGAAGCCTCTAAATTCCAAAGATTTGGGAGGCAGTGGCCAGGGAGTAAAGGTGCCACACGTATATATCATGTATGCTGTATACAGGCGCATGCATCATGCATAAAGATTATGTAAATGGATTTTGAAATTATGCATAACAAAACTTGGTTCACAAAATGTTGACATGCATGACCCAATGATGTACAGAATGTTTATCTTTCTGTTTGGTTTAAATTAAACAGAAAATAAAGAATAATTAAAAGAAAGTACATACCCAAGTAGGGTTGATGATAGGAGCAGGAGCGGCAAAGACGGGCTGGTTTCTGATGAGGGAAGGAGGGGAAGAGGAGGAGAGGTTGGCAACTATGGTAGGGCGCAATGTGGGTCTCCGGCGAGAGGACTGGGAGGAGGAGGCAGGGGAGAGGGAAGTGAGGGAGCAGCCGGAGATGGAAGCGGTCGACATTGTGACAGTGGATCCTAGAATTTCCTGTCTTTATACCACTTTTAATGTCATATGGCCCGGATAATGAAAGCGAGAGCTGGGTGAATAAGAGCTTCTGCCCTTGTAGATTAGGTTTGGACGTTGGAGATGCAACTTTCTCCATTTCCACCAGTTCTTGTGCCCACATATTCCCTTGTAGTTAATTGTTTCTATAATGTATATATTGTTTGATTTACTTTTTTATTATTGAATTAAAAAATTAAAATGTAATTCTCAACCATCAATATATGAGTCTCTTGAGAGCTTACATATCCATTAATTATTAAAAAATCATTTCACATGAGATAAATTACAAAATAGCATTCTCTTATTGAATTTTTCCAAGGAACACCAAACATATGCGCCTAGGATCTCGTGGCAATGACCATTGGCCAATGTTACCTCCATGGTATAACAATTTATCGTTTTAATAATAATATAACATAATTGTTTGCAAAAAAATCAATATGACATAATTCATTAAAGAAATTAAAATTTCACCTTATCTAATATAAGACCATGATACATTTATCTTCTCCGTCTACACCCTCCATCACACACCTTCACTTTCTGTTACTTAATCTATTATATCCAGACACCGTTTCTTACTCTTCCTGCTTTCCTTTCTCTCTATCTCTACTTTCCTCCTGCTCTCCTTGCTTTCCTTTCTCCCCCTTGTTGTTCTGATTGACCTATGTTTGAAATGTTGGAAGAAAGTTTTCAATTTTCTTATCAACCAAACAACATATTATATTATCAAATTTGTAAAAATTCTAACAAATTCATTATCTTCTTCCTTTTTCCTTCTCTTTTTTTTTTTTTCTCTCTCCATCTGGAGAACCCAGATTGAGAACCTAGTTTGGGTTCTCCATCTGGGTTCTGCATCTAGGTTCTCCTTGAGAACCCGATCTGGGTTCTCCTCAACAGATCAAGGAGGGAGGAAGAGAAGGAAGAAGAGGGGAGGAGAGGGAAAGAAGAACAAAAAGAAAGGAGGAAGAGGAGAAAGAAGGAAGAAGGTTGAAAATCAAAGAACCAATGCTAGATGAAAAGGAGAGTTGTATTGAGTGAAGAGGAGAGTTACTGAGTTAACGAGAGAAACAGAAACAGAATGAGTGTGTGATGGAGGGTGTAACGGAAGAGTGTGTAAATATCATTTCCCTCTTATATATTCATATAAGTTACGCAGAATAATGAGTATAAATTATTATCTTTTTTTGTAGCAAAAACATAAAAAATAGAAACAGAGATTATTATTTATCATTCTCTTTAATTTAACTCCAATTTCCACAATATAAAACCTGTATTTTGAGAAATATGTGTAAAATGGACATTTGTTGAACATAAAAACCTTCTGTCTTTATTTATTTATTTTTATTGCTTATATATTTAAGAAAATAAATATGAATAATTCAAGTTAAGGTAAATAATTTCTAACCTTTATCATCATGACAAGTCCTTGTTGAGATCGATGGGTGACCTGAAAGGAAATGGATGGTGGTAAAGAGAGGAGAGACATGGTGGGTGATGGATATCGTAGTGATAACTGATAAGGTCCTATCTTCAAAACATGGCTCTGGTGTGTGGTGTAGCGGATATCTAATTTCCGGTCACTACCTGCCACAAACATGGCTCTGGTGTGTGGTATAGCGGATATCTAATTTCCGGTCACTATCTGCCATAAACATGGCTCTGGTAGTGAGCTTTGTTTTTGGATGTGATTTCTGCAAAGAGGTTTGTCTTTGTGGCTGTGGGTCTTTGTGCATTTAAGATTCATACATGACCTCCAACTACCAGCGCAGATAATGATGTCGTCAGCTCAAATTACAAGCATCTCAAGATTACTTCCTCTCATGTATACTTAAGAGTACACACTCAGTATCAACCTGATGCATTTAGAATTAAATTCATTTGAATGATAATATAAAATTTATAACTTTAAACTTGATTTACAAGACAACATTTCCCATTACATATATATCCAACCTCAATTATTAGTTGTTTATGTAATAAAGCTCAAGAAAATACTCAACATATATTTGAAATTAACTCTTTAAAAATTGAATAGCAGAAGGGGAAAAAGTCTTACAGTTTGGTTCTGGATAAAGTCGGCACTGAAATTGCACAACATTCTACTTGGCAAAGATGATTCTTCGTCATGTTTGACACTGTAATGTACTAACAATACGGAGCTTCAATCTTAACTGAAAGAAAAGCTAGGGTGTGATCTATTGTTTTTATATGATGAGGAAGAATAGGCAAGTTGTATTTGAGTAACATGACAACATTTTAGACTAGGAAGAAGATAATGTCAACATCTTTTTGTCATCTCTTCGACATGTATGTTCATTATTAGTAACATCGAGAGGCCACACGTTACAAATGCGAAACACACGCAGCTTATACATTAGTTTACCATGTACGATTATGTTGTCATTCTTGTTAAGACATGAGAAAACCATATTATTAGTTATTTGTCAAATAGTTTGTGGTTATTTAAATGAAAATCCCTTGGCAGTCTTCCCCTCAATGTGTGGGCATCATAGCACCATATTCAGGCAAGAAAAAAGGGTTTGTTCTGCCAGCAACAGCAAGCTTAAGTCCCTGCCATTCAACGAGGGATGATATATGGAAAAAGAGAAATTATTGATACACACTTAATACAACACACTTTCGAATACTCATTAAATTTAATTATTAAAATATAATATAAATATAATATAATTTAATCAATTGCTATATCTTGTATACGTGACTACATTTAAGTTTATCTACTTTTAATTTCATACTATAAAACAATATTTTTTATGAATGTATTATATAGTGTATTAAACCAAAATATGTATTAATCAATATCCAAAGAAAAAATAATTAAATTGAAAAAGAGAATCACTTACAAGATTTACATGCATATACTACTTCTCAAGCCAATTATAGCAGCTAAGTGCCTCTGACTTGGTATCAACAGTTAATATTCCAGTGGTATACAGACCAATTCAATACAAGTCAAAAAACAACTACCCCAAGAATGATACTTGCAATCATTCATTAGGTTAACTACTGCTATCTATTTTACGCAAATCTAAACAAAATGGGTTGCTATGATGATATCATCTCTCGATGAGAGTACCTCAGAGATGTTGCGCTGCGGCATATTCATGGTTATAACAATGACATCTTAATGTTGTAAAACTGCAATACAGATACATGTTGTATAACAGCCAGTCTGGATCCTCTCAATCCAACTATTTGGGGACTAGCCTGATAGGACAGACAGAGAACGCAACACAGCGAGCTGCTTTTGCCAGCATAAAGCGCTCATGTTCTGTCAAGGGCCTCTCAATCACTTTCACGATGTTGGCATCCTAGACACATTAGAATTGATAGTGGTAAGGAAGGAGATTAATGCTTAAAATAATCACGGAACCTTTTTTTATATAAAGCTTATTTTAGCTGCCAACTGTAAACACATCTCTTCTTCAACCTAAGAGGACTGATTGAAAGGTGTTTAGAACAACCAACCTTCTGTTGTTGTTGAAAGGATGGCCTTACACTGGCAATGTCACCCACCATAATCACATTATTAATGTTTCCCCTTTCATCTCTTTCTGTTGCTGATGATGTCGAATGCCGCCAATTCTTATTAACTATATATTTATAGTAGTACCTGAAGGAAACAAATTTAATCACTCATGAGAAATTTATTCACAACAGAAATCTTGGCAAATGACATCTTAATCAGCAAGGACTTCAGTATCCCTATGCTTAGATGAATGATGGAAAATGACAACACTCTTGATAATCATAAATCCATAACTATGATATAGCCACAAAATGACATTCCAAATGAAGATCATAGACAATGCCGAATAAGATAAAGAGGCCAGATTCCAGACCACAATTCTAAGCTGGAAAAACAATTCATGTCACTATATCAGTAATGGCTGGCACAAGGCCACCAGAATACACAGGCAACCATATAATTAATGAGTAAGGTAAGTTCCCAAACACTAAAATGAACAAAAATGCATGACAATGGATCAAATGGTTATATAAGGCATACCACTTACTTTCCAAGTGGGAGACTCTCTTCAACTTCAAATCTTGATCCACCTTTATGGATTGCCTGAACTGGTTCCTTCCAGTTTGAAGTAAAGTCTCCAACCAAGCATACATCCTCCCCCTGTACAACAGTGATAGAATAAACTTTAAACAGGAACCATAGGAAAAAGCTCTTCCCTTAACAGTCAATTCATTAAAGCCTAAATGCTTCAAGCCCCTTTAATGAATTAATCTTTCCAAATAGAGAACCAAGAAAGATGAAAAGGGCACTGATTGTTCATGTTTAAGCTCAGCATTGGTAAACACCAAAAGGCACGCCTACTTGGGACTGAAATGGCTTGAAATTAGCCTTGAGACTAAATAGCAAAGATGCTTCACAAGGGGAATGTGGAGGTTCAAATCTGCACAACTAAGGTGGAAGGGATTCATTTCATGGAATCTTTGGATTATGGAATAATGGTAGATACTGCATTTTCAGGATCTGAGATGATCATAAGTTGACTACAAAAGTAAAAGTTGAAGTTGAGATCATTAATTACCTCTTGTCCATACCACACAAAGGTAACAGCATGTGTAGGGGGTCCATCATGTCTGCCGCCTTTTACCATGGCTATAAGATCCCATGTTGCCCAAGCAATTGCTGGTCTGCATTCAGATATTAACATCAGGTTAATTTCAAAGTTAAAGAAGATTACTTATTAAAATAGGATATTTTCATTCTACAATATGCACCAGAGATCAACAGATCAGTTAGTTTGTTTAATTCTTTTCACATACTTGATTAAAGGAATCTATTTTCAGGATAATATACAGAATCATTAACTCAATACCCATGCAATTATCCACATATAGTGAGAGAACCAAAAGCATATAACAGTTAGAGTGAATATTAGTTTGGGAACATTTTTTTAACTAAAGGATTGATGATAATTCCTTTACAGATTAAGATTCTCAAACCCATCTTCAGACAGAAATGAACTGTATGCACCATGCAGTTAGGAAGCAACCTTGAACCCAAAACAGAAAGCAAAACAATCAATGCATGTCTCCTTAACAAGGTTAGGAAGTACCTATCTGGTTTGCATGGATGCAACCCAGTGACAAAGTTATGAGCTGCGTGAAGGGAAGTATCAGTCATCCAGTGCAGGTATGCAACCACACAGCTAGGAGATCGATCAAAACCAGTAGTACAAGTAACAAAGACATGATGGTTCTTTTTCAACAAGCGCAGCATAAGCCCTACACTAAATGGTAATTTTTTCCTCATATCAAAAGAATCTCCATCCCTGCCCCAAAAAAATAAAAAATGAATATAGGAAAATAAATCAGTAAAATGAATTTAAAAAAACTCACAAGCCCAAGCACAAGCACAGCCACAACCACGCATGATACTCAAGATGCCCTGGCAAAGACAAAAATAACATCCCAAAAGACTACTAAGATATGGAGCAAAACCTTTTGCTTACCGTATAGGATAATTAATCATTAGGATATTTGATCTTTGGCATGATTCATTGATTAAATTGGGATTGATGCCCCAGTTTTCTGCTTCAATTCCACTCTGAAAATTCAATACAGCTGTGATTCCCTGAGGCAGTAATTCCTAAACATTAAAAGGGGAGAAAGGAAGGCAAAATAGAAGAGGTCCATAGAAGGACACCTCAATGACTTGAAATCATCCAGTAGATATAGAGAAACAAAATGTTAAACATAAAGAAACAACAGGACATGTATGGCGATTGGCACTAATGCATACGTCAAATAAGAGGCTAGAACTGCAGCATCAACTTTAAGATGTTAAACATTAAACTTTTGGGAAAATATATCCTTAACTTGGTGTTAGCAACCTAAAAAGCCATTGCCTCACTGGTCGAAGCCAAATCTCAAAGCAAGTATTTTCTACGCAAATTAGTGAGAATCTGTACAATAACATTCAATTCTGCTGTTAACTAAATAATCACAGAAGATGTCGATGGCTAATTGATAGGAAGTTACAACTTCTTCTAGATAAAAACTACTCTAGAATCACCATAGTTCCCCTTAAAATATCGACACGTAGCTTGGAAGATGGATAATGTTATGGACCAACTGACCAAGGGATAAAATTACAGTCACAGAAATAGAGCACAGATGGTTCTGAAAAGTTACAAGGCCATTGTCACTCACCATATTAGACAAAGTTTCTACATCAGCTTCGGTTTGTATGCACGAACCCAAATATATCTGTTCAGTGATCTAGCAAAAACAAACAGAATAATCAGGAGAGATTTTTTTTTTTTTTTAAGGGGGGAGCAGCGCAGGGAAGAGATATAGGCCATAAAATGCAGATCCACCATAAAAAATGCTATAAAATATAAAGATATAAACATTACACCTTACAACATCGCATGCCAAGAGAGTGATCATAGTATAGCTCGCCTTTTGATCGTTCAAGTGCTTTAATATATTCCTCTACTGGGAAGTTCCCATAAGCCCATTCCCCATTTCCTGGCTCCTCCTCAGAAAAGATACAAGCAAGTTGGATTGGTGATGGATGAAGGTAGTTCTCTGCTTGTGATTGGCGAATTCCAATTTGACCATTCAGGAACTTCCGTCCCTGGGATGTTAAAAACTTTGAGGAGAACACAACAAACCCAGAATTTCCACTGCCTTCAGTAGATGCTCTTAAGTTTGACGCCAATAAAGCTTTGCTCCATGTGGCAATAGGCACACGACCTCTATTGAATAAAATGTCAAGATCACTTGAGTGATAAAGCTCTTGAATTGGAAAAGGAGTAAATGGTCTCTCGAGGACCAGACTGAAAAATCCTGTTTTCTCTTCCAGCATATTCCTGAAGAAACCAGAAACTGAACAAATAAAAAAAATATTGATAAATAAAGCACATTGCCTAGATTAACCTGTAGAACTACAGCACTAAAGCATTTTAACTACATCAACATGTAAGAATAAATAAATAAGTCGTTCTAAAAATAAAGCCGCTGCAATGAAGCAGAAACTTAAAAACTCTTGGATTGTCCAACAAATACATAAGATTTTTTTACTAAATCAAATACCAGGCACAATTGCTGTGTCATTGTAGCAAAATCACATGTATAAAACAGCATGCCACACAATAAATTAGACGGAGCAACGAAAAGAATAAGCTTAGAGACTGTAAGTCTGTAACCACACTAAAGATGAAATTGTTGACAAAAATAAATATCTTACTGTGCATCACCAAAATCCTTGATTTCAATAAGCTTGCCACCAGATGCATCACTAGCCTTCTTCAATGTATCTCCAACCATTACTATCCTCGACTTCTCCGCATTACTCTGCAATAGAATTTCGCATAAATTTCAATTTTAAATAATAATAATAATCAATTTCAGAGTCCTGAATTGCGAGAAAACAAAGGCAACCTAAATAATCAACTCGAGATCAACACAATACCCCTCTTTTGATGGCGTGAACTAAGATTTTGCCATCCACTGAGAGCGCAAAGCGAAGGCCTAGAGGTTTCTCGAGAGTGACCATGTACTCGTTCAAATTCATCTTGTACGAAGAATCCTTGCCGGACATTGCATAAACCCTAACGATTCCTCCGCCGAAACGCACCGTCCTCCGCGAGACTCCATCGAGAAAGCGCGTTTCTCTGCCAAAGAAGGAAGAAGAAGTGGCGCGCAAATCTAGAGCTCTGCAACTGGAGAGTTGCAGTGAAGGCATCCTTGATGAGAGGAATTCGCTAGGGTTTGTTCGATTAAGGTTTTCAGAGCAACGGATCCAGAAAATGAAGAGTTCATTTTGCGGCAAAGGATTCTAATTTATATGATGAGATGGAGCGCTGGTTCTATAGGGAAGTCGGGGGCGGAGGAGATGAATCGAGGAAGCAAAAGCCACAGAGTTCGGGTAAGAATCTCGTGGTACACGTGGCTTTGTGGGGGCCAGATTCAATGGGGGATTTGTAACTTTCCAACTGAAGATGGCGCCACGTGGAGATATTTTTTGCACTAAATATCTTCAACTTCGCGAGATATTGCGTAGAAGGATATATGAATTATGAAAAATAATTTTTTTATATTGTTTTTAATATAATTTTATATATTATTTAAATTATAAATTTTATTTATTTATTTAAAATTTATGATATTAATATATTAATTTATTTAATAATATATAAAAATTACATAAAAAAATATATTAAAAAAATTATTCTTACCGTTCGTTAAATTATTCATTAGGATTAGCCTCCTCTTATAACCACCCATGTCAATAGTAGAATTTCAATTAAGTTTTTCGAATTTGTTAAGGGAAAAAAAAAATTCTGAATTGTATTAAATATATAAATTAAATAATATTAAAAAAAATTTTAGTTTATTATTAAGTTTTTTTAATATGTGTATAGATTAAAAATATTTATTTTATTTTTTCACTCTTAATCCATATAAAAAATTAAAAAAAATTTATTTTTAACCATAATCACACAAAAAATATTATGATTAAATCGTTTATAGAATTAAATTAAATTTTTATTTTTTATATAAATTAACAATAAATAACAAAATAAATATATTTTTAATTATTACTATAAAAGTAAAAAATTAAAAAA